GATCCCCATGTTTCAAATGGCCATGATGTCGCCGATGGGTGTAAATGTTCAGGAGGCTGGTGCATATAATTTGTATGTAATTGACATACTTGACATCGTCGGGCGTAGTCAACTGCATCATTTACCATAGTTGGCCAGTAATATCCTATTCTCCTAAGTCGGTCGCAGAGTTTAGGGCCAGGCTGATGCGCACCGCATGTTCCATCATGCGCCTCTTTGAGTGCTTGTTCTGCTTCCTTATTGGATAAACAACAGAGTAATAGACCATCGTACGACCGTCGATATAGCATTTGTGCTGCAGCATTATAGTAAAATCTCGGTGCTCTTCGCCGAATCGAATCCCTTTCTCTTACATCTTCGGGTAAGATACCATGTAGGACATAATCAATAATAGGAAAACGCCAATCTCGAACTTTGGGTTCAACTCTCATTGAGTGGGCTTCTTTGGTAATCAAATCGTAGATTGGAACAATAAGCTGGTGAGTTCTCACTGTAATTAATTATTCTGTTTCGGGAGGCTGAGCCAGGGATACCGATAATACCGCCAATGCGTCTGCATATGCATTTTGGAGACGTGGAACGTACTCGATGAAAAAATCTTCAAACGAGCTTGCCATCTCGATGGCTACCTGGTGGTATGGAATCAGATCCCAATTTCTGACTTCATACTCTCCTCGTATCTGATTAACTACCAATTGAGAATCACCAAAAGCTGCAAGGTATTCGACCCCTAGCTCTTTGGCAAAATTAAGTCCAATTATTAATGCATTGTACTCGGCCACGTTATTAGAGCATGGTTTGGTTAATGAATATGCTCTAGGTAAGACATGTTTTTCCGGAGAAACTAAAACGACCCCACTCCTGAGGAGATTTTAGAACATCCGGGTGCACATGCCATATTAGTTGCTCGGGAAGCCCCATCAAAGTATAATTGCCATACTTGTTGATGTGAGGTGGTATTTACTTCGTGAGTTTCATCTGGCAGATCATCGTACAACTCGACTATATCTTTTGTAGGGTTTTCCGCCAAAAGATTGCAAATAGCTCATCGCTTAACTGATTTTTGTTGCTTGAAATACAAATCATATTGCGATAAGAGTAGAGCCCACCTGGCTAAACGTTGCTTGAAATACAAATCATATTGCGATAAGAGTAGAGCCCACCTGGCTAAACGCCAATTCATGGAGGCCGGTTGGGTCATGAATACTCGGATTGGGTTTCCTGGCTAAACGCCAATTCATGGAGGCCGGTTGGGTCATGAATACTCGGATTGGGTTTATGTTGGAAATGGCATAAATTGTTTGTCCAACTAAATAATGTCGCATTTTTTGGATTGCGAATACTAATGCAAGGCATTCTTTCTCGATCATAGGATAACGAGATTCAGCTCCTACCAATGTGCGACTCAGATAATACATAGCTTGTTCGTGACCGTTATCGTCATCTTGTGCGAGTAAAGCACTTAACGAATGGCTCGTCACTTTGACATAAATCAAAAATGGTCTGTCCGATTTCGGTGTAATGAGGATAGGTGGATTCGCTAGATACGTTTTAATATCTTCGAATGTCTTTTGACATGCTTCATCCCAAATGAACGACACACCTTTCTTTGTGAGTTTGGAGAATGGTTGACATTTTCCGGATAGGTTAAATATATACTTTAGGCTCTTATGATCTGTATAAATATCACATAATACCCTATATAGATAGTGTCTCCATATCTCCAGGGCAAAAATCACAGTAGCCAATTCCAAATCATGAGTGGGGTAGTTCTTCTCATGAGGCCTCAATTGTCTAGAGGCATAAGCCACCACCTTGTCATTCTGCATCAAAACACAACCTAAACCTCTGGAAGATGCATCACTATATATCACAAACTTATCTGAACTCGTAGGGATAGTGAGGATAGGAGCGGTTACTAACCGTTTCTTTTAACTCCTGAAAATGTTCTTCGCATTTCTCACTCCATATATATTTGACATTCTTACGAATCAGATAAGTTAAAGGGGCTGCTAATTAGGAAAAGTCCTTGACAAATCTTCTATAATATCCTGCTAGTCCCAAAAAGCTATGAATCTCAATCACTGAGGTGGGACGCGGCTAGATCACGACAACTTCAACTTTCACTGGATCCACGGATATCCCATCTCTAGTGATCATATGGCCCAAAAAATCACCTTTTCTAGCCAGAATTCACACCTTTTAAACTTTGTGTATAGTTGTTGTTCCCTTAGGGATTGCAATACAATCCTCAAATGTTCTCCATGCTCTTGGTAACTCTTAGAATAGATCAAGATGTCATCAACGAAGACCACCACAAATTGATCTAAATATTATTTGAATATTCGGTTCATCAAATTCATGAATGTGGCCGGTGCATTAGTCAGTCCAAAAGGCATCACTAAAAATTCATAGTGACCGTAGCGAGTCCTTAATGCTGTCTTTGCTACGTCCTCAGGCTTAATCTTTACCTGATGGTATCCTAACCTTAAATCAATCTTGGAAAAATATTGAGCTCCTTGAAGCTGATCAAATAGATCATCTATCCTTAGGATTTGGAAAAATATTGAGCTCCTTGAAGCTGATCAAATAGATCATCTATCCTTAGGAGTGGATACTTATTCTTAATGGTCAATTTATTCAGATCATCTATCCTTAGGAGTGGATACTTATTCTTAATGGTCAATTTATTCAACTCTCTGTAATCTATACAGAGTCTTATACTCCCATCTTTCTTTTTCACAAATAAGATCGGTGCTCCCCATGGAGACACGCTTTGTCTAATGAATCCTTTATCTAATAACTCTTGAAGTTGTTCCTTCTGTTCCTTCATCTCAACTGGTGCTAATCTATAAGGGGCTTTAGATATAGGAGTGGTCCCTAGGACCAAGTCTATGGCAAACTCTATCTCTCGACCTGGAGGCAAACCTGGCAATTCATCAGGAAAGACATCCGGGTAATCTCTTACAACAAGTATATCTGAAAGCTTTTTCTCATTCAATTGGTCACTCATCACACAAGCTAAATATCCACTACAACCTTGCCTCAACAATTTGTTAGCCTTTTCCCCTTGAAAAACAAAACTCGCCTCCGCTTGTGGTTTAAATTTTACCAATTTTCTCAAACAGTCTATAGTAGCATGATGAGATGCTAACCAATCCATTCCTAAGATAACATCAAAATCTGACATGTCTATGCATATAAGGTCTGCATTCATGACATGACCACTCACTAAAACTCCACAATTCTCATAAACATATGACGCTAGGAAACTACCACCCATAGGTGTGGAGACAATTATCTCACTACTTAATAGTGTCGGTGAATTGGGAAAGTTCCTAGCAAAGTGAGGGAATACAAAAGAGTGTGTAGATCTAGGGTCAAAAAGTGCATGAGCGGTGAATGAGCATATGGGAAGAGTACCTTCCACCACAGATGGCGATGCTTGTGCATCCTTCCTTGTCAGAGTAAAAACTCTTCCTTGGTTCCTCTGGTTTTGCTACACACTCTGGTTGGGCTGAGCCTTCCACTGTGGAGCACTTGATTATTATGAGGCATTAGTTCGAACTGCGCGATTTCCTCCTGGTGCTCGCTCTGTTATTGGTTGATTCCTCAAGGTTGGACAATCTCTCTTGAAATACCCAGGTTGACCACACTCGTAACGTCCACGGTGAAGTCTGCAATATCCGGAGTGATGATTTCCACATCTGGGGCAGACTGCTGACTTGTTTGGCTGGTTCGTTTGATCATGACGAAAGGGAAATTTTGTTGTTGATGACCTCCCGGGCTGATTCGATGCTGACTTGTCGGTTATGGGACCTCCTTCGGTCCGTGGGCATTTAGCTGAATTCTACTTCTTATTGCGGATCTCCTGATACTCTAGCTTGTCTTTCTCAATTTCAAACGCAGTCTCGACCAGTTCTGTGTAGTTCCTGATCCTGAGAGCCACTAGTTTTCCTTTGATATTTCCCCTGAGTCCTCTTTAAAACTTCTTGGCCTTATCTGATTCTTCAGCAATCAGATGTGGAGCAAACCTTGATAGTTGAGTAAACTTAGCCTCATACTCCTGTATTGTCATGCTGTTTTGCTGCAACTCCTGAAATTCGATGGCCCACTGATCCTAACATCCTCTGGAGTATATTTCTTAGTCATAAGTTCCACAAATCTATCCTAATCAATCTGTCTTTGCGTAGGCTTTTCCAATCTTAAGGTTGCCCTCCACTAATGTTCAGCTTCCCCTCTGAACATGAAGGCGGCAAATGACACCTTTTGCTCCTCTGTGCAATTTAAGACTGTAAATATCTTCTCCATTTGTAAAATCCATTCCTCCACCACCAAAGGGTCAGTGGTACCCAAAAAAGATGGAGGTGTGAGCTTCCAAAACTATTCTAGAGCTGAGATAGTGGGTGTTGGTTGGTTGCCTCTAGGGTTGGTATGCTGCTCGAGGATCTTCACCAATTGTTCTAATGGATCTTGCATTAGTTCTTCTTGAGCAATAGGCTGTTTGCTGGTATTCCTTGTTATTCCGATAGGACAGAAGATCCTTCTTCCAAATTCTCCATGCGTTGTCCTTCCCTATCTGTGGTCTGATTTGCTCTTGTTCTCACCATTATCTACATGAAAATATAGCAAAGGCTCAGATTCCACACTTACTCATAGTACTCACATTGAAATATCTTTATTACTCATATAATATATATACATAAGGAACGTCAACAATCAACCTAGAGTACTGATCTCTCCAAAAGCTTTCTCATTGATATAACATACATATATTCATCAATACAAGAGTTCTACAAAAGTATAATAATCTATATCTAAGATATAGATGAAAGTATGCAATCCCAAAATACACCACACTTGGGTGTCCACCCAAAAGCCAAAAGTAATAAGATTCCTAAGGTTAGTGACCCAATGGGTCAACCTCTAGGAAGAGGTGGAAGAGCTGCTAGAAGTAGACTCTGTATCGAAGTCCTCAATTGGTTGGGGTTCATCACCATCTAGGCTGATCTCCTCCTGCTCATCATCCTCATAGGATCCTCCACCATTGGCTCATCCTCCCATGCCCAATCCTCCTCATCTAAGTCGAGCTCCCATCCAAGTGGAATTCCCTCTAGTATTCCACCAAGTAGAGGCTCCTGCATAACCTCAAATTCCCACTCCATGGGCTCCTCCTCTAGATCCTCATCCTCTATAGGGTTTTCCTCCGGCTCCTCCTCCACAGGATCCTCCTCTATAGGGTCCTCCTTGGGGTCCTCCTCCTCGGGATCCTCCTCCTTAGGGTCATCCTCCTCGGGGTCCTCCTCTTTAGGGTCCTCCTCTTTGGGGTCCTCCTCTTTAGGGTCCTCCTCTTCGGGGTCCTCACTCTCAAGCTCGCCACTCTTTGCCAATTGCCCAGGGTGTGATGGCCAATCGAAGAGTAATCCACTCTCTCCCTAAATGTCTCCTCTAGATCAGTCTCCTCAGAGATGATCTCCTAATCATCTGAATGTGTTGACCACACCTCCCTGCTGCTAATGGATCCTTCAATCCCAGAAACATTCGAATCAGAATCTCATTCCTGCCAAAAGTTATCTATCATCATCCAAGGGTAAAAACCAATCTAATAGAAATCTAGATATTACAAGAATGTCAGGGAAAAATAATCTTTCCATGACTGGTGTTTGACACCGACTTGAATCATCCCTATGTCCCCTTAGTATTTTATGTATGACTCTTAAGGTGTCAACCTGTGCTCTGATACCACTTTGTAACGCCCCTTAGGGAGGTACATAAAAATTTAGGCATGACCTATTTCTAATAAGAATGGTCGACCTGCTAAATCTTTATGCATATCACAATATAGATATACCGAAGGGCGAAAAATAAGGTAGTGGAGATGTATATGCAATACTCAGGATCACGAGGTTGATAGCAGAGTCCATAGAATACCAAAATAGAAGAACACTAAAGGGAACTACAAAATATTATAATAATAGCAGTGGCTACAATATTAGTACAGGTTTTATAAGTCAAAAATACTACAAGAGTGAACATAAATTAACTCCTACTAAGAGTTTCCTCCGGAGCTAATCTTCAACTTCAGGGTCTGCAATCCCCTTATCCTTGCCAGTAGTATGATCTGCGAGTGGATTAAAAAACAATAGGGGTTAGCCTAAGGCCCAATAGGTAACCATAAAAATCTCGGGTACCACACAAGGGAACGAATGAAAATGATAGACATAGATATCAAACTTGAACAAAGGGATCTCAACATTAAGTTACCATTCTTATATTGCTATCATTGACCGGAATGAAATAACATGTAAAGATGAATAATCAAGGTCTAATATTTAGGATTCCAAACTCCCCAATCATGGGATAATCAATAAACCGCGCATACCTTTATACACCCACTGGTGAGCGTCCTCACACAGGGCATTGTCCCCACCGGCACACATTACTATTACCACCCATTGGTGAAGCTTACTTCACACAGGGCATAATCCATGAATATAGACTATCAATTATCAACAAAGAATGGAATATTATCATTACTAATAGTCGAATCATCGAAGCAAGTCGAAATGTTGCAATATAATATTTTGAGGATATCAAAGATATAAAACTGACATAAACAACATTAGGATAACAATGGCTAAGCAATCACAAAGAGCCAACGTATGAAGTGAATTAAATAGGAATATTAAGGAAGTGATAAGATATACAAATTAGCATGGGAAACTAACTCGCAGAAATTTCAAGAAAGTAATCAATCGAACTCTCAAAGACTTGAGAGGAAACAATGAAAGGTTACCTATAGATTATGCCGGGATCCTCTCGGCCAACGAATGAATCCAAGATTCTCTGTCCTATATACATGTATACCCACATGAGATTCTAAACACTATGTCTTTTATAATTTTCTAACTTAAAACTTATATTATGGTATAAGCTACACTCTAGATGATTACATTCAATATCTCTAGCATGCACAGCAGCCCTAGTAGTGTATATACAGCAGATTTAGGTGAATGGATGATATGAGTCGCCGTGCGAGCACCTTTAATCGTAGAATTATCAAAGGTGGGTTGAGAAGAGAATGGCAGAAACACAAGAATAATTCAGTATGTGGCGAAGAAAAATACCCTCTCTAGATTATGATATGAAAAGATTACAATCCCTCTCTCATAATCTCACTAGAATCGAGAAAAACTCTCAATTCTCTCTAAACCCGAATCTCTCTTGATTAGAATCTATCTTTGATTACCTCTATTCATTAGAAACCCTAAACAACCCCTTATATAGATGTAATAATGTGGATGGCAAAGTGGTAAATAACCAAGCCCAAACCCCACAAGAATTCGTGCAAACAGAAACCCAAACGAACCAAGAAACTATCTATGAGTCGACTCATGTGCATATATGAGTCGATTCATGACACATGGGTCGACTCATGACTCACATGAGTCGATTGGTCAGAAACTTCTGACAAAATGGCAGGGTCTCGTGAGTCGACTCATGACAGGCATGAGTCGACTCAACCTGATGAGTTGACTCATGTGTATGTATGAGTCGACTCACGAGCTGAAAACTGGATGCTTCGATTCTTCGATTCACCTTCTCGTTTCATGCTTTAACCTGCATTCCACCGTGTTGTTTTACACCTCTATTCTCAAGTTACCATGAGAACCATCTATCCTCAAGCTTCCATGAGGATCGCTAAGTTCCAAAGAGAAGATACACCCGTATCATGGGTTCCCCTTTAGGAACTTGAAGTACCATTCAAGTTAGAACTTCAGCTGAGGAAACTCGCGAGCTCCTCCATCCTTTCTGTACCACCTAGCCTTGTTAGGAACCTGATATTGACGTACAACTAGAAATGACTCCTTCGTTCCTTGCCTCATCGTAGTCATCTTCCGCTTCGACATGCAACTCCTTTTCGATGGCTCGTCATGAAGTCTAATGCACAGCGAGACAAACTTTTTGCTTGCATTTACTAGCCTCTTAGAGAAGATTGGAGGCTTTCGAGCGGGATTTTTTTCTCGGTTTTTGGCTTTTGGCGTGGAGATCTCTTTCAACCTTGCTTCTAAAATGTTTTACGATAATCTCAGGCGAGTATCATCTCTGCTAATCCCCCTCCCAATTTCAAAATGTTTTTAAAGAGATTTAAACATGTTTTGTAGAGCCTAAACGACTAGATTATGAATAAAAGACAACTCTTTTGTATTATATGTATAAAGATTAGGTCTTTTCATGCTAAAATGGTTGAGAATGAATTTTACAGATGTATTTAAGATCTGAAGATAATTTTTAAAACGTGGTTAATCTAAAGAAAGAAGTTTGATTCATCGTTTTGAGCTTTTATGCATGTTTTAGGGTTTTGAATATAAATATAATGCATAAAATCATGGTTATATATGTTGATTTTGTTTCCAAATATTTCTATCTACTGTAACATGTTTGTATGCAAAATTTATGAAGTTTTTACCATATTTAAATCACAAAAATACGACGTGAACACGCCACATATTAAAAATCTGAGAAGCTGGAAATCTGGGTCATGGTCGACCGCCACAGTCGATCGCGTGTGTCCATGGTCGATCGCCACGGTCGACCGCGTGCAAGACATAGACTTAGGTAGTCTCTGGAGCCCGTCGCGGTCAACCGCCACGGTCGACCGTCAGTCTGATGATGGTCGTGCATGTTTCATTTGGATTTTTATTTGGTTTTCGAGCGATTCTCTCGACTTTGTGCTTATAGACTACAATGTTAAGAGTTGTTGAACACCTGGGATAATGGTGAACTTCAAATGTGGACACGCATACCGAGATTTGTGTATGTATGCTTAGATTATGTTAGATTGACACACTTTTGACACAAGTTAAACTGATAAATACATATGAATAGTATTGTTATATATGTACCCGAAAATAGGGAGATGAAACCTATTTGCCGCAGAACGATTGAGTAAGAGTATTACAATAGTATCGTTATTATATGTATCCGGAATAGGGAGATGATAAAGCCTATTGCCGCAGAGCGATTGAGTAAGAATACTACAAGAGTATCGCTATAGCACAAGATGATGCACACATAGGTATTTGATCAGTTATAAGTTTTACTTCCATGATAGATTACCCACGAGTAGGGTATTTCTTTTGAGATTTTGGCACACCCATTATGGACGGCAGTTATATTCGTTTTGGTTTGGTTGACATCCTCTTATATTAGAGTAGGTTACTGAGATGTAATTCGAGATGATGTATTTATTCTTTATGTTAGAGATTTGAGTATGTTTCCTTGACTATTTGTTTTTCATAGAGAGCTATATGAATGATTGGATATATGTAAGTACTGGCTCTATTTTCTTATATACTCCTACCCCTTCCCCTGGGGAGAGGTAGTGATGATCTCACTAGCACTTTGATGCTCGTTGTTTCCCCTCTTTCAGGCAGCGAGTCCGGCGCACGGAGAGTCGCAGGTTGATGGGACTCATTAGTTGTCCATTTGTAAGGACCATGAATTTTTAATGCCAGTTAAAATAATTTTTTGATATTTTAAAATATTTAATTATTATTTTTAAAAAGAGTATTAGTATTTTTTGATTTTCTAGGATTTTCTATGATTTAAAAATGCGATTTTATACTTATTTAAATGATATTAATATTTATAAATTAATTTTATGCGGTAGAAATTTCTAAAATTAATCTGTTGTGTTATCGGTGTTATCACATGTCATTTTGAATAATACGTTGTATTATTTTTTATTATTACGTATATTTTCGTATAATACGTTGTATTATTAATTACGTATTATTTGTATAATTTGTTGTATTATTTCTACTATTACAAATTATCTGTCGTATTAGTATAACGAGTACGTTTTACTGTGTATATAATTATCCCATAATTATTGGATTTTAAATGTAAGTAATTATATTTGATTTATTAATTATTCTTCGTTTAATTGTACAATATGGGTATTTTTTCGACTATTTCGTATCAACTGTTGTATTAG